ACTGATACTTTGCCCATTGATGAACATAATGATCTGAATGATAATTTGAATGCTGATAATGTTAATTAGTAACTGAAGTTGTTAGGCAAAAGATGGAGTCATCCAACAAAGACCTATCAGATGTTGGTAGCATTTATCCATTAGATGAACAGATGCCAAATGAGATGCAGGGTGATGTTGGAGAAATTGTTGATGACAAATCTTTGGAGGTGAAATTTAACATGAAAAAGGCCAATGCGTATCATGTTTCTGTTGCTGTTAACCAATGTAGAGCATGGTTTAGAAAGTAACGCATTGAATAATAGTGAGCAAAAAGATGTTCAGTTTGAAAAGGCTAGCACTTTAGGTGATGTTATCTAGCCTAGTTTGTCACCCAAGAAAGTTGAGGTATCTGCTGAAGATAAACATTGTATTGCTGCTTCTAGTGATGATAGAAAAGGTATGGAAACACTCCCTTCTAATAATGAAAATGACTGGTCTCTTCCTTTTATAAAGCTGGTTATTCCAGATCTTATGTGTGATGTGTCTGTGCATGCAGTTTTGAGCAAGATATCTGAGGTAGTGGATGATCAGAATATGGAAAAGATAAATTTGGATCAATCTTCAGTTGATGATTCCATGAAGGAGGATGTAGTAGAGACAAAGCATGTGGCTTTTGATCATATTTCTAATGAGAATGATAAGACTGAAGAGTCTATTACGGGAATGACACAAGATCCCAAAGTTGTACGAAATGGCTCTTCTGATGCAACGCAACAAGACAATCCTTCTGAGAATGTTGAGTCTCCTCAAAAAACTAAATATAGGTTTCTTGAATTGTTAGAGAAGGGAACGTTTCAAGGTACCATGTCTTCTTAATTCTCTCTTTCCTCCCTTTTTCATGAAAATATTCTCTTTTTTACCTCCTCTGCACGTGTTTATTGATTGCATTTTCTTTATAGCTGCTACTATTCTATTAGGGATTTGGTGCTTCTATATATTATTATTATTATTAAATTATTTTAGAGTTGTTGCTTTTGTACTCTTTTAATTGATTTGATGAAGCTCTCAATAGTAAAATTTGTGTACTTTTTACATATTATCAAAAGTGGGTTTTAAGTATGTTGTTTATTAGTTTGTTCAGTTATGAATGTTAAATCTTCTGATTGACTCACATGTTTTATGGAGTTATCAGTTATGATCTAGAAATTGTGAAAGTTAAAGCTCACGACTGGTTTACAAGCTAAAGTTGGGCTTATTAGCGTGTTAGTGTATTGAAATTTCTAACTTCCAATGATAGATACTGGATTCGTCTTGAGATATTGGATATGAATACATTCACTCTAGATAACTTAGCGATAATGGGAATTAACAAAAATGATCTATTCTTTTCTTGTTCTATAATTTGGTTTCATAAGATATTTGACTTGGGGGTGAATTTTTTGTTGATGATGTAGGATATGAGATTAAAGAGCCTGCAAAAAGACAGTGCAAATGGAACACTGAGAATTTGTGTACTGCTAAGCCACAAAATTTAAGTATTGCATTATCAGAGAACTTGGTTCTGACCATCCCTGTCAAGCCTATCTTTGCCAGGACTGACTCTACAGTTAGTAAGGATGCACCCAAGGAGCCCTGGGTGAGTATTTGTTTTCTTGGTAAATTGCAGGAGTTTTACATGCAAGAATAGCGGCATAAGAATAATTTGTTTCTTTGTTCTGGTAATATTCCAGTACCAAAGTTTTCCACAACAGCCACTATTTGGTTACTTTGTTCTGGTAATATTTCAGTACCAAAGTCTTCTAGAACAACCACTAATTCTCTCAAAATTGAGAAATTCTTGCAACCCTTTACGCTAAAAGCTGTGCAAGAGCTCTTTGCAAGAACTGGTGAAGTCTACAGTTTTTGGATGGACCACATAAAGACCCATTGCTAAGTCACGGTAGAATCTTACTCTCTCCTGTTGTATTTGATGATCCTCTTAGACCATATGGTCATCAAATTTCTCTATTTGAAATTATACTATTTGCAAGGAAGCTATTAGCCTAGTTGGCTGGTTACTCTTAGAAAATGACAGGGTTGGGGACATCTGTCATGGGGTGGGCATGATTTGAAACCTTGATGTTGTGCCAGTTGGCCTAAGCCTCTCTGGTTAATTTGTCATAACGTAGCATGTTAATGTGCATCATTGGCCTTCTGAGGTGCATAGCTAAATGGCAATGGCCTTTGCATGCTTTGGCTTCTTGGCATGTTGCCAAATTTGTTAGAAAAGTGTCGTACTTTGCTTCCTTAGTGGCTCTAGTTACTAAATTAATGAATATTTTCTCTCAATAGTGTTCTTCTGTAGAGGAAGCCATAGAGAACCGAAATGCTATTTACAACCTCCAATGGCCACCAAAAGAAGGTCGTCTCCTGGTTGCAAATTTTGTTGATCCCCAACAGGTGCCAGGCCAATGGCTGCTTCAGCGGCTGCAGTAGCTATAACAAAAATTGAGAAAACCAAAATAGACGGACGGGAGCCTGCTACTCCAGCGGCAAATCGCAGTACTGCAGTGCCTCCAACTTTATTCTCTGTTCAAGCACCACTGTTTGGCAGCAGGGTCACAAACAACAGGTTAAACCAGAACATCCACTCACGCGCCAACCACCAACTGTACCTCCTACTGCACCATCAATAAGAGAGAGGTTGGCTCGACCTGCTTGGCAGCAGGGTCGCAAACAACAGGTTGAGTCAGAACATCCACTCACCCGCCAGCCACCACCTGCTCCTCCTAGTGCGCCACCAATAAAAGAGAGGTTGGCTCCACCTGTTGCTGATAAAAATAACCCCCCTATTATTACTTTAGATGACATCTTCAAAAAGACCAAAGTCGCTCCCCGTATCTATTATATGTCGCTGAATGATGAAGAAGTTGCTAAAAGGCTTGCCAGTAGAGGAAGTGCTGAGAACTAGAGCTTTTAAGTGAAGAAAGGACTTGTTAGATAGATGGATTAAAGAGAAGTGTTGCGATGTAATGCTGATAACTGCTAGTTTGCCCTCAAAGAGAAGTTGCAGTCTTGAGGCTCACTAAGACCTTGCTTTCTTTTCTATTTTCGTTGTTAATGGTTACTGCAAGGTTGAAGTCTCTACTATATTTTGCTTTGGGTTGAAAAAACATAACAAAATGTGCAGAGTCTGCCTTCTTTCTTCATCCAGATACATAGTTGAATTGCGCCAAAACTATAAATGTCATTTATCTCCACGCGTTTTCTTTACTGTAAAATTTTAAGAAATCGAAGGGATGCAGATGATGAAAGCAGTTGCTTATTTTTTTTTAGTTTTCAGGCCTCACTCAAAAATTAGCTAATGATATCTCCCCTTTGTGAAATATTATATACTCCAAGAATTACCCTCAATGTTAGATATCCCCCCCCCCCCCACTTTATAAGGAGTTTTTGTTTTTCTCCATCATTTCTTCTCTAAATATTTATCCCATGCAAGGCTCAAACAAATGCACACATTTCATACTCCTAGTAGCAATCCATACACATTAATCAACCTGTTTGGCTTATGATTTATAAGCCATAAGATATGATTTCTAACTTATGATTTATTTTGGCTTTAAAATAAGTGTTTATAAACATTTTTTAACTTTACCCAAACACTTCAAAACTGCTTAAAAACTATTTTAGCTTAAAAACACCTAAATTAAGTCAATCCAAACGAGCACTTATGTTAAATCATAGTTAACTCAAAGGCTAAAGTACAAAAATAGAGAAGAGACGAAGCTAAAATATATTTTAAACTAATAAATAATAGTTGAACAAGTGAAAGTAGTCATAACACAATATTTTCAGACCTTAAGCTCGAGTGGTTATACTTATAATAATTTTAGGGCAACTTTTCTTCATATTTGTATGCTGTAACAAAATTTTCATAATTGCATTCTATAGCAAACATATAAATGTATAATTCTATATACATATACAGTTAAAGGGAATTGTATAAAACGAGAAAGAGAAAGAGATTTGGGCAGAGAATTGTATAAAACAAATTGTATAATACTACTTGTATAATTATAAGTGTATAGAACGATTATATACAATTTGAATTTGTATAAAATGAGAAAGAGAGAAATTATATACAATTTGAATTTGTATAAAATGAGAAAGAGAGAAATTATATACAATTTGAATTTGTATAAAACGAGAAAGAGAGAAAGGCAGAAGAAACTGGGCAGGGGAGTATTTTTATTGTATAATTATTAGTGTATAGGAAGAAAATATATGTATTAGCATGTGTATATATAATTTTCTCTCGCTTTATACAAACAGAAGCACAATTTATACATTTCGTTTCTGTTTGTATAAGCGAGAGAGGTGAGGGTGGCAAGCGAGATATGAGAGAGGGAAGAGAGGGGAACAAAAATATATGTATTTATACATTTTCCTCTCGCTTTATACAAATAGAAAGAGATTTTATACGCTTGCGTTTGTTAAAAGTGAGAGGAAGCGAGCGAGAGATGGAGCGAGAGAGGAGAGTTGCGAGCGAGAGTTTAAGGGAGAGAGACGACTAAAAAACAATTTGTTACAGGACACAATTAAATCAAAAGGTGATTATAACAATTAATTTGATTTATTAATTTGTCATTATATACAATTTTCTCATAATTTTATACTCATTGTTGTCGGATTATCAATTAATCTTTTCTTTTTAAAAAACAAAGCCTTGACAATATAATTAAAGACACGATTGCCAAACGTTTAGCCTTGAAATAGTGAAATAGTTTTCAAAATAGCTAGATTTATAAAAATTATAAACATCGGTAATTATAAACTCGTATTGTGCGGATAGATTTATAAAAGAATTATATTATTTTTCAATATGACTTAAAAAATGACATTAATGCACTTCCCCTCAAATTGAGAGACTATAAGGCCACGACCCGAAAGACCCGATTCGTCCATTGGCAGTAGCAGCAACAGACAGAGGTTAACAAATCTTATCTACTTTCTCTCTCGCTTTAAGCATTCGATAAATTTCACAGCTTCTCCATAAATTAAAACCCTAGAAATTCTCTTCATCTCAAGCCATTAGCATTTTACAAATCCAATTTTCTTCCGAAAGAACAGTTTTTCTTGGTGTCATTTTTATATAAATTATATACGTGTATTGATATAAATATATATATAATTAACAGATCAATATAATTTAGGAATACTGTATTGTTTTGCTTAGATTTGTATTAATTTGTTTCTGATTCTAACAATTGTGTGCTTTTGTTTCTGGGATTAGGGTTTCTCTCGTTTCTGTTTTGGAACTAGGGTTTTCACCATCTTTTTGGTTGAAAGTTTTGGTGTCCAAGTGACTATTTGCACTGGTAAGTACCCTTTTCATTAATTGTCTGAATTTTTTATATTTTCACTTTCTTGAATAGAAAATGTTGAAACGTTGGGGCGGCGGCTGGGTAGGAGCTAAGATTTTTTTTTTTTTTTAGTTTAAAGTTTTGCAATTGGGTTAAAATTAGAAGTAAGAAAGACATGGGGATTAATATATTTGAGTTTTAAAGTTAAAGATACTGTTCTCTTGCAATTTTTTTATTTGGAAGACTGAGATCTAGCTACTTTATATTGGACTTGTGATTGGCATTATGGTTTCTTTATGGATTATTTTGTTCATAGCTCTAGTAAGTTCCACCAAGTAGTTGTCTTCTTAAGATGCCTATACGTTATGTTGGATTTACATTTTTTGAGTGCATATGTTCAGTGAATAGCAATGCTTTGACGGATTAAACCTTATATTGCCTTATCTTTCTTCTTAGCCCTATATATTTGGCTACCACTTATATAGGCGCGGAAAGCACTTAACACTCTCTCTCTGCATGAGAGAAGCTTGTGCTATTATTTAAATATGAGGATCTCAGCTGAATATAATATTGAAAAATGTTGCAGCAAGGGTGTTGTCCAATGGTCAATGAAGTGGGTTGAGCACCATGAGGTCTCAGGTTCCAATCCCAGTAGGGATAAGACACTAGGTGATTTCTGCCCATATGTTCTAGCCTTGGTGGATAGAGTTACCTAGAAGTGGTGGTAGGTTATCCTGTGGAATATCCAGACACCATAATTATCCAAAAAAATATATTGAAAAATGTCGATAGCTAACATAAAAGATGAAACAACATACAACAAACATAGAGAATGATTAAAAAAGAAGCAACAATTAACATATCACAGCAATGACATACCCGGTATAATCACAAAAAGTTCCTAGCTTTGATATTTTTTGCGAGGTTCAGTATGTCCATTAGTATAAATATTTGCGAGGAGTCTTTTCCCATAAAAAACAACTTCTTTGCATGTAACCGGTATTATCTATGCATGTCAAGTTTAGATTTCATCTTGCAGGGTGGTCTTTATTTTGTGTTGGAATGGAAAGATAAATAGGGGATGAAGATTGTGTTTGATTGGGCATCACCATATGAGTGGTTAATAGTAAGGTCTAGAAGTATTAGGAAGGCATAGGATAGATCTAACCAACAATATCTGATAGAAATTTTTACTATATAGAGGTGCAAGACCAAATCTCTGAAGGTTGTTCTATTTATCATGGGTTTAAATCTACCTGAGATGATGTTGAGAACTTGATGATTTAGTTGGCGTGTGTGCATCTTACCATCCCCACACCCCACTTGTGGGGTTATACTGGATATATCGTTATAGTTGGCGTGTGGACATTAATTTTGATGATATTTGAAGTTAAGTTTGCTTCAATTTCATATGTGACCTGAGCTTCAAGCAAAGAAGGTCGTAACCTCGGGCGGTCGCAAAGTCAACGTTCTTACCGTGAACTAGGCAAGCACCTAGATGTTAATTCTTAAGCCTTAGCCCGAAATTCTTATTTATTCATCAGAGTTCCAAGCCTGTAAGCACAACTGCATATTTCCGAGCTCGAGGTTGCGCCCACTCCGCATGCGTTCTGGTTCAGGAACTATAGAACACCCTTTCCTTCCTGATATCCAAAGGAGAGTGGAGCTTCAACACCGGATGTCCTTCTATTTTATCGGGATGAACTGCCTTGTATCAAAAATGGAGTTGGGTAAAGCAAACTTTCTCCTTGGAGGAGCACGGGTTTACTCAAGTAGAACCAGGTTGCCTCCTTGATTCTGTGATCGAAAACAAATAGTGGGTCATGCTGGTATGATAAGAAAGGGTATTTGGAAATTGAAATGATGTCTGGACATGCATTTCAATTGGAAAAATGGTGAAATCTTATGAGGGAAATATTATTTTCTTACTTGGTAAGTTGTTAGAACCAGCCACTTCAAGTTGAAGTGAAAAATTGGCTATGTTTTAACTAGCCCTAAAGCTATTTTCTAACTGAGAATTCTAAATTGTGACTGAACGAGTACTCTAAAGGATTGGTACATGTATGAAAGAGTACACCATACTTTTCTTGAGTGTATTGTAGCAGCCATTGTGATTATGAAATGTGAGCTTTATGAAAAGAACTATTAAGGGATTAGGACATGTACGAAAGAATGCACCAGCATTGTTCTTAAATGTTTTGAGGAAACCATTTTGAAAGAGCAAGTGCATGGTAGAGAGGAACACATAGATCAGATAGGACTGACTAAAAGGAAAGAGTATTTCACTGACAATCCTTTATGAATAGACATATTCTTGATAAGTAGTGGTTGATGTTTGGGAATGATAGAAATCCATAGAAGAACTGGTATGAAGAGGGTAACATTAAATATGACTGGAAAATCTTTTAGAGAAATTGCTAAATAGCCAAATCTTTGTTTCTGTTGGCTGCCTCATGCATTTTAACCGGTAACCTGGTGGTCACATAGAATGAGGTGCATGGTTTCTGGAGAAAAAAAAGGCTGATGTAGGGTTGTTAGATTGGCTGGAATCTCTCTTCATTTGTGATGCATGTAAATAGTTGCAGCATCCAGTCAATTTGTGGATACGGACTTGGACAATCTAGAGGACAGGTTGAGAGTGAAGATATTCGTGCTCTTAGCAGCTTCGTATTCCGAAGTCTATGTAAGTGAAAAGTCTTTTTTTGCCTTTGGGTAGTAGGAAAGAGAATGCAAAGATGCCGAGGAGTTGCATTTTTCACTTCGTATTTAACATATGAAGCATTTTCTACATTTGAAAATTTGAGAGACGGAAACGATAATGATGGTGGTTCATGTGCAAGGAATATGAAGAAATTGGAACCACTTTCTGTTGCATTATAAGAGTTGTCTTACAGCTACGGCCCCTAGTGTTTGATGTTTTGACATCATGTAGGTGTTATCTAGAACAGGGGCAGTGCTAGCACCTGAAGCAATTACATAGATAGAAGGTACAGGAAACTTCCAAAGTGTGGAAGTAAGCATTAAGACGGTTGTCTTATGGATACTAGGAGTTACCTGAATTGACAAGATGTTAGTAATAAGAAAATTCTTAGTGTTCCATATGTATTTTTGTGTTACAAGGAGTATATACCTTTTCTTATTAAGATTGGCAATTGCCGAGCCGTGAACTATATTAGTTTTTTTCTTGGTCATCAGTATTTGAGATCTTGGCAAAATTTTATTAAAGAATTTAATGAAGAGTATTTCAAGTTATAAATGATGGCTTTTTACTCACCAATCTTTCATATATAGTCCTGTATTCAAGGAGAAACTCATCCAAATACAACTTTAACTTCCAAATACTCTTTTCCAACTTCAACTGAATATTGCTCAAACTCCTATTATATATTTTAGCACTGGCTTGGTGTGCAATGTCTGAGTATATTTTGTTTTTTTAAGAAAAAAGAGAACACAATAAAGAAAGTCTCGTCCACGACAAATATGCATTTTTTTGAAACCCGTCATGTATAGTTGAAATTTCTATAGAGGTGAGTACTAATCTCTGCTAGTGTTAAAAAAAGAAAGAGGAAAAGATCTGCATATAAGGATTTTGTCTTTTCTTGATTTTGAGATTCATTCAGGTCTCTTTTTTCAAGTTTTATATGTCCATGTGACTTTCAGGTTTGTCTAAGTGATTTTTTTCACTTGGCGGCTAAGATGTCGGACTACCCTGTGCTTGATAATCGTCCAATTAATAAATGGAAAGTAGCAGAATTAAGGGATGAGCTTAAGAGGAGGAACTTAACGACAAAAGGTTTGAAGGATGATCTGGTTAGACGATTAAATGAAGCTATCTGCATAGAAATGGAAGCTGCTGCAGTTAAAGAGAGTAAGGATGATGATCGTGACATTGATCCTGCCAGTGGTCTTGAAGATACTGAACCCGAGCCTGATCCTGTTAAATTGGTTGATGATGTTCTGGAGCATCCCCCAATTGAAGTCACTCATGGTTCTGAACATATTACTGATGCTACATGTGGTCTTGAAGAAGCTCAACCAAATAGCAATCCTGATATATTGGTTGATAACGTTCAGAAGCAAAAACAAGATGAATTTAACAGTATTGACAGTGATGTTGCTAGGGCCACCACCAAGAATTGTCTTGTTGGAATAGACCAGAACAAAGTCATGGATGAGGTTGCAACTGGAGGTAATGATGATGTTCTGAAGCATCACCAAAATGAAGTTAACGAAATTGATGGTGATGCCAGTGCTAGCACCAAGAATGCTCTTGTTGAAATAGACCAGAATAAAGTCTTGGATGAGGTTGCAACTGGAGATACTGCTGCTGGAGAATCAGACCGTTTGGAGGCACCGGTTGGTAGCACTAGTGTTATAAATGAGATTGCATCTAATAAGGAACACAAGGTTATTGATTCTTCTCAGGATGATTATGTTGCTGATGGGGTATCTGAAGTCTGGGATGGTTCTATTCCAGTCAGTAGCACTAGACAGGATGTTGAGGATATGAAAATTTCATCTTATGAGGGAGTGCTTGAGGACAACCTTAGGGGACAAGAAAATGATGTGGAGGTAACCCCAGTAACATCAGAGGAAGCATTGAAAAACCACAGCATTAAGTTGGATAATGAGGGTCTGAAACTCTCAGACATGGATGCTGAGCCAGATATGTCCAATCCAGCCACTCAGGTATATGAGGTCAACCCTAATTTAGGGTCTCAAGTAAAATCTGACTCATTTTCTACTGATACTTTGACCATTAATGAAAATAAAGATTTAAATGATAATTTGAATGCTGATAATGTCAAATTAGAAACTGAAGTTGTTAGGCAAGAGATGGAGCTGCAGTCATCCAGCAAAGACCTATCAGGTGTTGGTAGCTCTCATCCATTGGATGGTCAGATGCCACATGAGATGCAGGGTCTTGTTGGAGAAACTGATGATGACAAATCTTCAGATGTGAAATTTAGCATGAAAAATGACAATGCAGATCAGGTTTCTGTTGACGTTTCCAAGGTAGAGCATGATTTCGAGAGTAAGACTCCAAATAATAGTGAGCAACCCGATATACAGTTTGAAAAAGCTAGAACTTTAGGTGATGTTGAAGAGCCTAGTTTGTCACCCATGAAAATTGAGGCATCTGCGGAAGATACACACGATCTTGCTGTTTCTGGTGATGATAGAAAAGGTATGGAAGCACCTCCTTCCACTAAAAATGACTGTTCCTTCTTTCCTAAGACCGGTTCTTCCAGATCTTATGTGTTGTTTCTTTGCTTGCAGATTTTAGCAAGATAGCCGATGTAGTGGATGGTGAGAATATGGAAAAGATTAACTTGGATCAGTCTTCTGCTGATGATTCCATGGAGGAGGATGTAGTAGAGACAAAACATGTGGATTTTGATCATATTTCTAAGAAAGAGAATGACAAGACTGATGAGTTTATTACGGGAATGACAGAAGAGCCCAAAGTTCGACCAAGTGGTTCTTCTGATGCAATGCAGCTAGACATTCCTTCTGAGAAGGTTGCGTCTCAAGAAACTAAAGATAAGTCTCTTGCTTTGTCAGAGAAGAGAAAGTTTCAAGGTACTCATGTCTTTTCTTTAATTGTCTCTCTTTCCCTCCTTTTTTTGCAGTAAATTCTCCCCTCCTGTTCTACACATGTTTATTGATCACTTCTTTTTTACTTTTACAATTTTATTATTAGGATTTGTTGCTTCCTTATCAGAAAATAATATTAGAGTTAGCTGTTCATTGCTTATGTATTCTTTGAAATGTTTTCGTGAAGCTTTAAATGGTGAAACTTTTGTATATTTTATATGGTGAAGTCCAGATTGTTTTTTTTTGAACATCGGTAAAGTTGGTGAAGTCCAGATTGTTAGTATGTTTATTAGTTCTGTTTTTCTTGTGAATGCTCAAACATTTGATTGGACCGCATGTTTTACTAGAATATTGCCACAAAAAATTGCCTTTTTTTTCATTGTTAAAGTTGAAGCTCACAACTGGAAAGCAGCTAAGGTTGTGCTTACTAGGTTGTGCTTACTAGAGTGTGTGTCTGTATAATGAAATTTCTGATACCAATGGCAGGTATTAGAATCTTCTTGCAATGTGGGATATGAAGCCCTCTCTATTTACATCAACTTTGGATAATTATAGTGATAATGGCGAATAAGAATACGACTTATTCTTTTCTTATTCTATAATTTGGTTTCTTAAGATTTTTGACTTCTTTTGGATTCTTTGTAGATGAAGCAGGAGGTGGGAGTAAAGAGCCTGCAAAAAGGCAGCGTAGATGGAACACTGAGAAGACTGCTGAACCCCAAAATTCTAGTATTGCTTTAACAAAGAAGGTTGTTCAGCCCACTCCTATCAAACCCATCCTTGGCAGGACTAACTCTACAGTTGGTGGGGATTCACCCAAGGAGCGCTTTGGTGAGTCTTTGTTTTCTTGGTAATGCATGAGTTTCAAATGCAACAGTAGCAGCACAACTATAATTACTTCTAATGTTCTGTTAATATTCCAGTACCAAAGTCTTCAAAAACAGCCACTACTTCTCTCAAAATTGAGAATTTCTTGCGGCCTTTTACGCTGAAAGCTGTGCAAGAGCTCCTTGCAAGGACTGGTGAAGTCTGCAGTTTCTGGATGGACCAGATAAAGACCCATTGCTATGTCACGGTACAATCTTGCTCTGATCTCCTACTGCATTTCATGCTCATCGAGTTTCTCCATCTTAAATTATACTTGCTACTCTTAGGAAAGGGCAGGGTTGGGGGACAGTTGTCATTGGGATGGGCATTATTTGAAACCTTGATGCTGCACCAGTTGGCCCAAGTCCCTCTGGTCGATTTGTCATAACATACCTTGTTATTTTGCATCATTGCCTTACAGAGATTGCATTCCCAAATATTAATGTGTTGTATGATTTGGCTTCTTGGCAATCCTCTCTTGAACTTATTAGAAAAGTCTATATTGTGTTTCCTTCCGTAATGGTTCAGCGTAATTAATTGCTACGTGTTCTCTTAACAGTATTCTTCGGTAGAAGAAGCCACAGAGACCAGAAACGCGGTGTACAATCTCCAATGGCCACCAAATGGTGGTCGTCTCCTGGTTGCAGATTTTGTTGATCCTCAACAGGTGCAAACCAAGATAGAGGGTCGGGAACCTGCTTCTCCACCGAAAGTTACCAGTCCTGCTGTGCCTGCTTCATCCTTTGTTCAAACACCACCTGCTCAGCAGCAGGGTCGCAAACAACAAGCTGAGTTGGAACATTCACTCACACGCCAGCCACCTCCTGCTCCTCCTAGTGCTCCTCCAACAAAAGAGATGCTGCCTTCACCTGTTGCTGATAAAAATGATCCCCCTATTGTTACTTTGGATGACCTCTTCAGAAAGACCAAAGTCACTCCCCGTATCTATTATTTACCGCTGACAGATGAAGAAGTTGCTAAAAAGCTTGCCATTAGGGGAAATGCTAAGCCTTGAGATATTAGGTAAATAAAGGGGCATGTTAGATGGATCTGTAGAGTGGTGTTCTAGTGTAATGCTGAAAACTGCAAGTTTGCCCGCATGAAGAAGTTGCAGTCTAATTTGTAGGCGAGTAGTGAGTTTCTTGAGGCTCGTTGAGACTTTCCTTTCTTTTCTATTTTTGGTTTGTTACTGTTTGCAGACTTTGGTTGCTACTAGGTGCAAGTCTTAACTGTATTTTGCTTTGGTTTGAAGATACTTCTGAATGTGCAGATTATAAAGAATCTGTGTTAGTCTGACTTCTTTCTTTATCCAGATTTTTGGAGAAGTATTTGAATATTAATCATCTGAGTTATGAGATATATTATGTAAGTGGTATCAATGTGCTGAAGCTGTAACTGCCATTTACTATCTGTTTTGTTTTCTACTGATTAACTCCTTGGTGTGCGACACTTTAAAACAACCTTAATAGCATTTGTATTTTTGCAAAACCCATCTGATGAAAAACCATTCTAGTGGAAATCTTGTTTTTAATCTGCCATTTTCCGTTTATAATATGTTTAAAGTATCATCAAAGCTAATTTATCAACAGTCATGACCCCAAGAAAATTATTTGAATTCATTATATATTTAACCAGACTGTAAATTTGTCTAAGGTTATTATATGTATATTCATCAATATGGGTTAGGTCCAGATTAATTCATAATTCAACAGGGTTTGAACTATGATTTTTGAAGTCCATTTGAAAATGAACCTTTATGTCCAACAAGATCATTATCTTGTATGTTGTCTCTGATATATTTGTATAAATGACAATGATTTTAGATTGAAGTCATATAATCAAATTTTCAATTGAAGTTGCACTATCAGAGAAAATTTGAATTTCTTCTTTCATTTTATTTTCATGCATCTTTCTTTCTATCCATAGATCGGTTTCGCGCAGATAAATTTTTACCGGAGAAGATTGGTTCCCCTTGAGGTATGTCCTTCCGGTGGGTTGTTCCTTTATCTGTCTTTTTCGTTCAGTGCCCCCGCTGCGTCAGTAGAATCATTCTCAACCTGTTCTTCTTAGCCTAACCGTCATTCGTGGAAGTAAATTATTCAAAAATTCTCCTTTCTAGACCTGACATCATGTCATCACTTTTTCAAATACAAGAAAGTTGGACTAGTGATTAGATCAAGTATCTCAAGCTCCGTCTCAAACTCAGCCAAAGGAGCACATCTAGTTGAAAGACTCTCATTCTTATTTTATATATAGGAGAGAGGCGTTCTCATACCCTGATATCACTTTGTGGTAACTTAGAACAGAAGAAAGCCTCTTTAGGATGGTTCCGTCCTAACTAAACCAAGTCACTAGTTATTATAGAAGACTCAAGCATACTTCCCTATACTTCTCCTAAGTGACATCCAACTTGAATTTAGAGTGTTCTTTTAAACGTTGAGAGAAAGGGACCCACAGACAAACCATCAAAGATAGATTTATCTTTGAATCGATCAATTGTTCCAACTCCATCATCGAATGAGATTAAGCGCGCCTTTCAAAGACTGATAAAAAATGTCTTCCTTCAACGAACCCTTATACACTTCTATTATTAAGATTTGTTTTATTTGAGAGTTTTGAGACTTGATTAGCAATCATTAACACCTACCATGTAATAATATACAAACATTTTAAAATTGAAACAAAAATTATAAGATTATTTTTTAAAAAATAATGAGCTAGCCCGACATAACTAAGGTTCATTAAAACGTTTTTAGAATTCAAAACCCATTTAAATTAGCAGGAATGTATGTATCCGCCCGGCCCATATGAACTTTGAACCTCAAAATCATAAATTTTCTATCAACAAATAGTGGCCCATGAAGAAACCCTAATCTCATATAATAACTAGTAATACAATTGCAGCCTCCCTCTTCCCTGTTTTTCCCCTTCCCCCTTTCCCCTTAGTTTCACAGATCTTTGTGTAATCAAGAATGGTGACTACCGGGAAGAAATCGAAGAGGACTCATGAGAGCATTAACAACAGATTGGCTCTCGTAATGAAGAGTGGAAAGTACACTCTTGGTTACAAGACTGTTCTCAAGACTCTCAGGACCTCAAAAGGTTGCTTTTTTTTATTTTATTTTCTTTCTTCTTTTCAATTGCCCTTTTTGTTACATTTTTTTTCTGGCGTTTTTGGGTTTAATGTATGATGGGTTTTGCAGGGAAGTTGATATTGATATCAAACAACTGCCCACCTTTGAGGAAATCTGAGATTGAGTATTATGCTATGCTCGCTAAAGTTGGTGTTCACCATTTCAATGGAAGTAAGTCCATTTTCAATGATTTTTGTTAATTGTAATCAAGTTCTAGCATTTGGATTGATTTGTATTGGCATTGATTTTGTACCATGTTAGTTGATGAAAAATCTGATATTTTTGTTTTGTTTTTAAGTTCATTAGATTCCACTTTATTTGATATGCTATAAATTTGTTTAAATAGTCATGCCAGCCTCCCCAGACGCCATTTCTGGGACTATATAGTGCCCATACGCAAGTGAAGGTACTGAGACAGTCTGAGATCTGCTCATGTATTTGTGTTCAATATCATGGACAAGTGGAAGTGCCGAACCCCTTTTTTGCTTAAACATGAATTTTAAGTTGGGAATGATTGTAGCAGATAAGACCGGTTAATGACTAGTAACTGAGATTTCATCTTCGTGAGTTCGTCAAGATCATAAGCTTTCATTTCATTTTTTTCACTTGAAATAGTAATTTTAGCATGTCCTTGCATTTCATTATGCACATTTGAAATTTAAGTCATTTCCCTTAAGGTTTATCTGCAACATAGGACTGCTAGGTTTTATTTGTCAGTTGTTTGTTAATATATATTAAACATCATTTCTACTATAAGTCATTCCCAACATATCTGTTTTTGAGTATATATTGCATATCAGTTTATGGTTGTTTGTGTGATGCTAAGTCCCTTGTGCTGTATTCTTTCATTTTCTTTTGGATGGTTACAATATAACTTCTGTCGGTATATTGAGTTCCTGTTTGTTCTGTTGGAAATTTTTTCGAGGAACCTTCTTTGTGACTTTTGTCTTTGACTAGAACGAGTATTTTCACAACTATCTAATGTATGTGTTCTTTTCCCCTTGCTATTTTGTGTGCAGACAATGTTGATCTTGGTACAGCATGTGGAAAGTTCCACCGTGTGTCATGCCTGAGCATCATTGACCCAGGTAAAGTGTATTTGAGATTATTCATTGTAGTTTTGTAAAATCTTATAATGGGTACTAAAGGGTAAGCACACAGTTTGACTGACTTGTGGAAATGGTGATGTTTCAGGTGATTCCGACATTATCAAGTCTCTGCCTGGAGATCAGTAAGAGTTGATGATCTAGTAGTCATTCTCTTTAAACAATTTAGAAAATGTTTTGCGGGGCTGCTCTAAACCATTTTACTGATGTTGAGAGAATCTGTAGTATCTTTTTGTTCTTTGTGTTTTGGAGTTATACTGAGATTCTAGAGTATTTTGGTATTATCTAGTTTTGTTGGTTTTATCATTTCTCCATATGTTTGTTGAGGCCAAATACATTATGATTTATTCATAGATCAATTTTCCTTGATAATTTTGCTTATCTGAATGAGTTCACTAGCTGATATACAATTTTGTTGAGCCAAGTCTCTCTGCCCCACAAAGGTACGGGAAAGTATTAGTGCACCTCTCACCTTCTCCGTACTCCACTTGTGAGATTATATTGGTATGTTGTTTTATGAGTTATCGTCTTGTTAACTGCATCTGTCTAGCTTGCAACTATTTGAAGCTCATACTCGATGATGTTTGTACTATGAGCTTATTTATGGTTATATTTGTATGCATGTCATATGTTGCTAGTTTCCATTAGACCCCTCACCTGTTATGTGCCAATCATGTTCATCACTGATTACTTCCCTAACCGTGCTTCATCTTCTCCTTCGTTTTTAACAATCCATGAAAAAGAAAGCTGATTCAATAAAGCCATAGTAAATCAATATTGTGTGTCTGAGAGGGCTTGCCCTGTAGAAGATTTAACGGAATGAACCATGTGGATATCATTGTGATCATAGACCCTGACCCTATTCTCTAGTGCCCAAAATGTTGTATTTGCAGCGTCTGCCATGTTTCATCGACTATGTTATCAAGTTCTGGAGATGTAGAAGTATCTGCCATGGAATTTCCAAATCGAATTTGTGTCATATGTTGGTAGTATTCAAGTCCTGTTTGCTGATAAAATCTTTAGTTCAAATGTATAATGTGTTTAAAGGTGAAAATGATATTAGTATTATCTTTTCACTGTCCATTAGACTCGGATCGTCTCACTCAACCCAACTGTGAAGCCCGGTTTCATATTTGAGTGAGACGATTCAAGTCTAATGGACAGTATACTGGATGGACTCTCACAGATTTCCACTGGGCTTTCATTTTTTCGAAAGAGTGTTGTTGTTGGTTTAAGTAATGATCACTCAAATAACATTTAAGTGAGTCAATAATTTTTTCATTAATTAACTTAAGGTTCCTTCGACATTTTCAAATGTAACCCAATTTGGCATCCCTAGAATTGGCAATTTTTTCATAGTTGTGTTATTTCATGTCATTTATGACTGTTGATAACCGGTGCCAAATTTCCATATTCCAAGTTTAGTGCCAGATAACCCGTTAGGTTAGGTCTCTGACTAGATAATTGCAATATAAATATTACTTCCTCCAGAATTAGAGTAATATTAGTTATCTTTTCTATAGTTAATCCCGTCAATTAGTTATTTACGTAACTCATCCAATTAGTTAATTAGCTATTATCACTTAAATTAGTTTGTATTTTGGTTGAAACCTTACAACACCTAGCTAGCAGCTCATGGACTTTTTTGATTGCTTATGATTACTTTAGTCATAAAGAGCCTTTTTTTAAAAAATAAATTAATTAATTAATAGACCCCCAAAAAGAAAAGAAAAAATGTGGACTAATGCTGAAATGTGTTGGGATTAAAATTAAGAGGTCGTTTGACGTGAGAGATAAGAAAATTGTGATGACATAATTTTTTTATATCTCGTTTGGTTGTCATGTTTGGGATGACTTATCCCATCATTCTTTTATTATAATGATGACATAGTTATTCTATATAAATGGTGGGATAAATTAATTCAGGATAGCTAACCTTGAAATAATTAATCCTGAGATAATTTATTCCCAACTAAACAATCCGTAGTAGCTTTATTTGGCTTATATTGAAGGTGATCATCTTTGTTGCAATCTCGTCGTAGATTATTAAATTATTAACTTGAAAAAAAATCAATTAATTAAATAATCCTCTTTTCCAAGTTTAGTGCCAGATAATCCGTTCAAGTCTCTGACTAGAATATTTTATGTATTACCTCCTCCAAAATTGGAGTAATACAATCAATCTTTTTTTATAATAATCTATCTTTTATAATGACATTTCATTATGAAAATTAGTCTACAACAGTCTAAAAAGAGAATAAATTTTAGAGAATAAACAAAAGTGAAACTATCACGAAACACAGCTACAACGAAATAATATGATAGTTGAAATATAAGAAACATCATAATAATGAGAAAATAAAAAGATAAAGAAATTACAAATACGATAACACACCTCTATCTTATGTAAGTCTCCCACAACCTCCTATTTAAATTCATGTTATCGATAAACTGAAACCCTATTCTCATTTGCTATTTAATCACCTCCATCAGAATTTCAATACATACATAAATATTTTTTGAACCTAATCTTAATAGGATCATTTTGTCATTTTCTCATCCATGGAACTTGCATTTTATTTTTTTTTAAAAAAATTAATACCCTAATGATTGTTTGCTTATGATTTAAATTAATCATAAAGAACTTTTCTGAAGAGACAAAAAACGGAAAATTAAAGAAAAGCTGTCGAGTTCAGCTGAAATGTGTGTTGGAATTAATTAAAAGAATGATAAAAGGGGTTCTTTTCTTTTGTGAATAATTTATATTGAAACTAATATAATAGTATATTGGGATTAAATAGTAACAAAATTATTTAGTACTTTTTTTTATTGATAGATGATTGGTTCATCATAAACAATGATTTATAAGAATATAACACATGATCAATTTTGGATTTGAAAAAAAAAATATTTTCAATTTAAATCTCAACCTTTTTACAAGACGAGTTTTGGGAAAGAAGGAAAACCTCATTTATTGGTTTATGAGATTAACAGTTTCGAAATTAATATCCTATGTAAATTGTGATATAAATATAAGGAAAAATATATATAATAACAAATTATTAATTTAAATTAAATGCTATAATCATTGTTTGAATTAATTGTATTTTGTAGCAAATTGTTGTCATTCGCCTCTCTCACTGAAATTTTGTTCGTCAGTCTCTTCCTCATCTCTCTCACTTTATACAAATACAAATGTATAAATTGTATTTTTATTTGTATAAACGAAAGAAAACTGTATGTACACATGTAAATACATGTATCTCCATCCTATACACTTTTGTCTTTCTCGCTTTAGACAATCACAGAGCATACAAAATACAATTATAATTTATGAAGCGAGAGAGAGAGAGAGATTTGATAAACAAACGTTTTATTTCGATTCAATTGTATACAAATTCAAATTTTATTCAGATATACAAACACATAAAATTAAATTGAGAGGCTGCCAACGATTTATTACTAATTATTAACTAATAGATTTATAGGATGTAATATAATATGTTAAACATATATAGGGATTATTTTTTCCTTATACAAACGAGAGGCTGACAACAATTTGAATAAATGGTCTGCCAACAAAATTATACAAATCTCAAGAGAAGTCAACGAGTTATACAATTTGATGTTCCATAGCAAAATATAAAATTTACTATAAAACGCAATTATACAAACTCTAAATATAACTTACAAATATAATTTTTATATTTCCTACCTATAAAAGTTGCTCTTAAAAATAATATCTCAAGTATAACTTTGATCAAAATATAATCAAACAAAAAATAAAATAAATTTACATTTTATATCAAAATTTATTCTCTCTTACTTGGCGGATAGTTACGGCACTGTTTTGGAACAATCTTTGTTGAGTGAGTTGGGAAATAAATTTAAAAATATAAAATAATAATTGTACATTTTTAAATACTGAAAATAAAATTACTTCAAAATAAAATAAAATTATCCGATCTGGCATAAATACATATAAAGGTGATCAATGATACAAAAATTTCATATATCGACAATCTATATAGTTTTTAATTTTTTCTTCTTCTCAATATATATATATATATACTTTTCATATTATATTTTTTGAAAATTTAAATTAAAAGAATATTTTCATATGATGTTACACGTAATCTGAGAAATAAATGAACAATATTCGATATTTTCCATTTGCCATCTAATGTGTGCACGAACAAAACCTTTCAGACCATCAGATATTCAGCACCTCACTGCAGTTCTTTTTTGTATCATTTATGAGAATAACATGCACATACTTTCAAAGTATTATTTTTCTCGGACTAATTTAAATTAATCGAAACTCAAAAGAGCAAAGTAAAAGGATGACTGTAGAAGTAGTTAGGGTCCTACAATAAGGCCAAGAAGGTGTTTGTACACGTGCCAACCACGTGTAAACCTACATGGCTAGGTGTACACTGACATGCCACCTAAATCAACCCATTCTGCCAAATATATAAAACCATATATTATTAGTAATGCTTATTTGGCCACGGATGAAAAACATATACTCCTTTCGTTTCAAAAAGGATGATACAATTTGATTTGGAACGAAGTTTAAGAAAAGAAAGAAAACTTTTTAATTTTGTGGTTCTAAATTAAAGTTATGTCAAATGTACCAATTATGTCCTTTAATCTTGTGATTTTAAACATGTTACCTGGTTACCAAAAAAGGAAAACAATCTTTTTTTTAAATAAATGAAAAAAGGAAATAGGATTTTTTTTAAACGGAGGGAGTATATACTTCTAACTCTGTTTAAAAAGAATGATATCATTTAATTTAAATGGAGTTTAAAAAAATAAAAAAGATCTTTTAATTTTGTAATTCTAAATTAAAGATATATCAAATGTATAAAAATATCCCTTAACATGTCATCATTTGATTTAAATGGAGTTTAAAAAAATAAAAAAAATGTATTTAAAATTATAAAATTAATAAATATTTTAGAATATTTAATATATATTTAATTTTAAATTATAAAATTCAATTTTTTTAACTTTATATCTGATTAAAATAAGTCAAACAAATTAATAATAATAATATTTTTTTTCTTTTGAATTTCATATTTTTTATGTCTTCATTCTTCTTACTTTTTAAAAATATTTTAAAAAAATAGTCCTAAAGTAGTACTACTCCCATGCTAGAACTACACTATCATCAATCATTGACATCTCATTATAAAAGTTAAAAATTAGCAGTTCCAAGATATTTTCCAAACTTTTTTTATTAAATTATCTACTAAGGTTGTTTTGCTAGAACTCCCCTTATTTTTCTATTTTATTATTATTAGACTATAAAGTGAATACAAGTGTACATTTTTAATTTCAGATACTCCTTTTTTTATATTATGTAAGGGAAATAAGATTTAAGGTTAGTGATATCATTATATTTCCAAATGTCTATTAATAAAATCTTTGACTTATGACTAAATTCTTTTTTCTAATTAAAAATATCAAATTCATAAACTTATTTTATTAGTAGTAAACTTACTTTAATTTCAATTGTCAAGTAATTCAATAACCTGATAATTTTAGTCATCCTTATCTGTTAAATGAGTAGGATGGTAAGTAAATATTATCACATGAATTTAGCTTACATTAAACTAAACCTTTTTTTTTAATCTTTTTTCTTAAATTGGAATATTGAAACCCTTTAAATAGTAAGTTTTGTTATTTACCTCGAGTAAATTATGGTATTAGGTGCTAAATTTTAGTTTTGTATTTTTTTTTTTAAAAAAAATTAAATCTCTTAAAATGAATAACCCAATCCCCGCAGATTGTATGAACAAAGTATTAGCTGTCACTGCCAAATTAAAATCTCTGTTTTCCCTTTCTTCAATATATTCTTTCTCTTTACCCCACCCCTACCCCTACCCCCTACCCCACCTACCTATATATACCCCACTCTTGTTCACATGTTTTCTCCATTCACTCATGCCATGCAAAAGCACTCACAAATGGAGAAATCAAAATCAAAATCGATTGTTGAAGGTGTAGAATTGATTTTCGATTCGAAATTGGGAACGTATGGGTGGTTCAGCTGCACCAGCAGCGGCGGAGAAGGCGTTTTTGGATTGAGGAGAGAGAAGAAGAAAGTGAAAATTGAGAGGGAATATCCGCCGCCGATCCCAGGTCTTGTGAAGACGGAGAATGTTCCGTCTTCACAAATGCCCTGGGTGATGAAGAGGTATCATACCTCCGATGGGCGATTGATTATCAAAGAGGAGAAAGTGAAGCGATTTGAGTATTTCGAGACTCACCGAACTGAAGGAAGGTTGATGCTGAATCTCATTCCGTTAAACGACGACGCTGGTGATTCAGACGATGATAACGATGCTGCTGCTGATGGAGGCGATGTGGTTGAAAAGGATGAGATTGATCGGACGGCGCCGGAGGAGGGTGAATCGGCATTGGTTAATGGTGGTGGTGCGGTGATCGGCGGCGGCGGAAGCGGAGGAGTGAAGTGTTCGAGTTTGTGTACGTTTGGTGTGGCGGCGCCGGCGATAAGGCCAGTTCATACATAACCAAAACTTTTCTTCTTATGAGAAATCGATGGGATTTTCCATATATTTGAGGCTTTTTTTTAGGTTTTAAATTATTTTTATTTATTTAGAAAAAGTTTTGTTGGCATTTTATTGAATTTTAAATTATTTTTTGAATGTCAATTTATTTTTTGTTTAATTTTAGTGATCCCTTTGTGCTGCATTTCTAATGTTTTTATATTATACGTGCGTATTGTGTGCTTCTTTTTTTTTTTACAAAAAAATTCTTTTTAAGGATTTTATTGTTCTCAGCTAAGGATGTTTGGTAAATGTGATATATTGAGTTTAATATTATTTTTGGGTTAATGTATTAGCTAATCTATGAATATTGATGAAGGTATGAAATAATCAAATGATTATTTTTGTTTATTCCATCATGCGTGCTATCTCATACAAAAAAATAAAATAAAAATAATATTTGATGTGATAACTTCATTATTAATCTTTAATTCCAGAGTTTATATTTGTTACCCAACAATTAAACATTTTTTTTTCAGAATTCAGAAAAAGACTTTCGTAACCAAATACACTCTACGCTAACATCAACCTAATCTTATCGAGTATTGGACTATGTATCGTATAATTTAAATTTTAAGAGTCAAATGATTAAGTTTGATCGTAAATTTAGAAGTAAAATAGATTCATTTAAATTTTGAAAATTAAATTTCGTTCAAAAGTCAAACACTACAGTTTATCTATGTGATATTGTTGGAATTTCGAGAGTCAAATAATATAAGTTTGACTATAAATTTGAACACAAACTATTCAAGCTATTTAAAATCAAATTTACAAAATTATAATCAAAGATAAATTTATTTAAATTTTGAAATTTAAAAAATGCACTAGTATAGCAACAAAAAGTGCGTGAAATAATCTAAAACTGTAATATCTAAATTTAAATTTACGTTACAAAATTTTATATTAAAAGATAAAACACTCGTTCCAGTTCCTTCTCATGCATGGCTGTGTCGTACCTGTAATTGTTTTTCCCCATCTAATTATGTGAATCTCCTTGCATTATTTAAAATTTGAATTTATAAATGACTGGAGTCCTACTTAAATATCTATTTCTTTTTCTAAAATTACTCCTGATCTAGGTTTATTTTTTAAATTTAAAATTAGTGTATGGCTACTACAGTAATTATTCGTATTAGTTTTAAAATTCAATGAGTATAATTACTCTGCTATATAATTACGTATATTATATATAATTATTTCAATTCAAAATTTCATTTGCTACTTAACTTAAACAGGTCATTAATTCACCACTTCTATTTCACAGTTGTAAGGATCAAAGAAGGTATGTGACAGATAATAGAAGGCTAATTACATCTAATCAAAGATAAGTATTAGTAATTGTTATGTTGAAGCAAATTAATCGGATAAACTTTCTAGCTATATATAGACTTACAAAGAGTAATTGTGAGAGTTATCAAAATTGATCTATAACTAACATCCATCAAATGAATCCCAATTTATTTATATTTACTTATAATGTACGTGAATAGAAATTAAACGTAATTTGAATATAGTAAAGGATTTTAATATAACAATATAAATTTGAATTAGTCGCAGTATTAATGCGATTACTCAAACTCGGTACAACTTACAAACCATGGCATGCAGCCTATAACGAAACCAGAAATATTAATTATTTTAATAAAAATTTTCATATGTCAATTTAAATTAATATTTTATATTTAAATGAGTGTAATTAAGGTAAGTCATGATAGACTATCTTTATAAATGGGGCAGCATTTATCCAATCAAATTTAAATTAATCATATTTTTATGAACTGATTCTATCGTATTTTTATCTGATCCAATGCTTGATGGCTCTTGCAATTGATTTATTTATTCATCAATTTTAAAATAAATATATTAACATTAGAAACTCTTATTGGTTGTGAGACGCCATTGGTCTCTATTCTCAATCGTGACTCAAAAAGATACAATTAACCATTGACGTATGAGGAAACTAAATCAGTTGCTTTTCGTTATGGCTTCGTATATTGAGGAGTGACTCAAATATATTAATGATTTAAATTAAAAATTAAATAGGATTTTAAAATTTAAATTGTTAATAACTTTCATATAATTGATTACTTCTAGTTTTCAATTGATGATATACCTTTTTTTATATTAAATTATTTTTCATGAGATATAGTACTTCAAATATGTCAATTTTCTTCTAATAAATCCTTTATTTTCATGAAAAATTTACTTTTTCTACAAATAGTACTCAATATTTGTTAAAAAATAATAATTTATAAGCTATTATCATTAAAAATAAGGCCCCTTAAATTTGGAAGCCTAAGGCACATATTTTTTTTTAACAGTATCGAGCTACCCTTGCGTGTATTGATCGATTCGCTTTAATATGTATATAGTATAAATGTAATTTTATTAATAAATTAGTCAATCATAAATTAATAAGATATTTGTAATAACATGTGATTTAAATTTTTAAAATTAATAAACTGACTAATACTCCTAATATTTTGATTTTTGATTTATCGATTATATCAAAATTTTCATATCCTAGATTTGGTCACATTGGTAGAAATGGATCAAAGTCAAAGATCTATTTATCCCCTTTTCATCAATTTGATGTTTTTTCCTAGATCATTGCTTACATAAGATTGTAGATATGAGATATTTCATCTTATCCATAAACTAGTTATCCTAAAATAATTTCTTATTCATTTATTATTCCTTTGTTATTTCCCTTTTTGATTGGAAAAAAAACATTAAATTAAATAAGAAGAAAAAACAAGAAACAAGTGGGTCTGTCTAGTTTCAAAAGCATTCACATAAATATTCTCCAAATTAAATAAACTCAACCTGCTGGCTGTATAAATCCAACACTTGCACGTAACATTTTTTTCAAAAATAGTAGTAAATATAGTTTGAAATATTACTATCTTTTTTTTTACACTACCTTACTTATTGTCTTTATTATAAATAAATGATTCAAAATAGTAATTGCTATACACATACTCGAATATTATTATTGTTAAGATTAACTCTCTTCTTATTTACCGTAGAAAGATTAATATTTTAAATAATTAAATTTTTTTGATAAGCGTATAATAAAAAAATGTAACGAGTAAAGTGATCCCGAAGAATATAATTTTGTTGTTGCTTGACAGCTCAATATGTATGATAAATAAATGCAAAATTTTGTTTTAAATAAGAAACCTGACTTCAAGTAGTAGTAATAAGTCTGGGGAATCCAATTAGGTTTTCTTGTTATTTACAAATTGAAGGTGATGGTAGCATGATGTTTCGAAAAGATAAAAATTATTCGTACTCGATATTTATAATATATAGAATAAAAATATATATGTATATACACATGCGAATTTCCGATAGATATTTTCATTGCTATGCTATTGGATAGTTAAATATAAAATGTAGAATCTCTTAATAATACGAGATCTTTTGAGGAAAATCATGTGAATTTTAATCTTAAAAAAAGTCATTATAAGTTATAACACAATGTTGGGATACCTTAAAGGATAAATTAAGACAGACTTTAATTTGGATAAAAAAAATTATCTGCACAATATATAGCTTCCACCTGCCAGTTAGTAACCAACTTCTGCATTTAACCCAAACGAAAATATACATATACTTAATGTAAACATTATCTAATTATATAAATATTTTTATGATTTACTTATACATAATTTTAATTAATCTCATATTGTCTCTCTAATTAATAATTTCATACTAAATTTCAAGATGGATACACCTAGATGTATTTATTTTTCTATGAGATACACTCTGAAATTCAGATATGTAGGGAGTGAAGCGAGCAAGATAGGAAAAAGATAAGCTAGAAAACATGTGTATTCCAAATACATATAAATCAAGCTAGAAACATTCTAAAATACATATACACGGAGAGAGGCTGATAAAAGAGTTAAATATACGTGAATCCACTTGAAAACAATGTTTTTTTAAATAAATCACACCTAATTTTAATTTCACCTCTTGTATCCAAAAACCATATATTTGGACGTGGCTGATACATGTATATGAAGATCGAAATCTATTACGAATTATAATTTTGAACGAGAAGTCACGTAATTAGACCCTAAACTAGAGGAACTTATGTTATTTACCCTAACTTGATTGTATGATTTATATTCTTTATTTGGGTTGATTTTTTATATTTATCTTAAAGAAATTGAATGTATGAGTAATGGAGCATAAATTCTTTAAGAGCATAAAACATAATTTATCGGCATATATTATGTATTGTGTTTTGATTATCACGCTATTTGTGTGTTGTGATGTTTGTTTTTTTAATACACTTAAGCGAGGGTCTTTATTTGGAAATAACGTTTTTATCTTTACAAAATAATGTTAAAATATATGTACGCTCTACTGATCTCCAATAATCCACTAAGTGAAATTTCACTAGATATATCATTATTTTTAAATAAAGAATATCTCCTAACAAATTATGAATAGATAATTTGAGACGAAAGGATTAAATTACCTTGTTTGTTGGAAGGAGATATTAATTTTTTTTAAAACACAAGTCCCAAGGAAGTTGGTGTTTGGCAGAGTGAGTTTGAATTCTCTGTGAGTATATTTATGCTCTACAGCTACTATTTAGATTCTCATTTCTGATTAATTGTAGTCAGAATCTATCATTGGCCTTCTCTTTTTTTTGGCATCCAAAATACACTCTCTAGATTTTCCTTTTTCGTGTGATTTAAAGGTTACGAGTGAAATTATACTCGAATATAGTTATTGTATTTATATTAGATAAATATTCTTTGTATCACATAAAATACTATGTACATTGAACTGCCTCACTGACTAAATTCTGTAAGGATATTTATTCTTAAGTTCCAAAAGACATACTATGTAATTTGATTAACAATCGTTATGTCTTAATTGAAACTTTTCTCATGCATAATATTTGTTTATGAATCTCGAGAATGGATGGTTGATCGTTGCCCAGGAGAGTTAATGCAAAACTTTACAAAAGAACAGAACTCAAAGGCCTACATCTGTTCAATGGGCTTTATTTCATGCAATGGCCCAAACCCTTCTTTTGATATCGTCGTTTAACTCGTTTCCATTTTGATTATCCTCATTCTAATAACTCATAAAATTTTTAATCTAGTTCACTATAGCCCGAGGTCATTGGAAAGTTCTATTTCCGGGACATTTTTGTCCAAAATTAATTCTGTTTTTTCTTTTAGAAATATTTTTCTTTATTTTCTGCGAGTGTGATTGAAATTGGTTAATAATTCTAAATGAGGTTGTATACAATTTTTTAGGAAATTGGACGTGATTTGGATATGGACTGCTTTGGAGTCAAAATATATACATATATATAAATGTAAATTGATACACATACATTTATGAATATATATCCATACACATGATATACAAGAAAGATAAACACATAAATACAAATGAATATACGTAGAATATATATGGATATACACATTTTGACTGTTTTCTTTTTGAGGTAAGTGACTAGTAAAATATAATTGTACAACAATATTCTAAAGTTCACGCATAGAACTTATTACAAGATAATAACTATATTTTTTTTTGTTACAAGATCAAAAAATGGTTATTTGTTAAAGAACTTAGTTTCGATCAATTCACTCAAGTCGATTAATTCGAGCTCGTACACCATAAGGTATAACAGCACTATGAACCCTTTTAAAAATTAGAACAATAAAAAAAGAAAGATTTGTCTTTTATATATATATATATTACTTTTATATTTGATATATATGTGAAAGTTGTTTATGACAGAATCATTCTTATGAGTCTTTTATTATATTTAAAAAAGTCCACTTAATGCAAGTATCTAACTTGTATTTCGTCTACGTACATACAACAAAAGAGTGAAGAATTATCTATCAAAATTGGGAGAATATTTCCACTTAATTATTCTATACCATTACGTGCTAATCTCTTTAATTATGCTGTTTAGAGTACCTTTTAATCACTTTAATACAACTCAAAATTAGGTTTCTAACGACAGCTTATTACTTTAATTACTAGTCAATCATTCTTGGTGATACCTCTCAAGCATTGGACAGTTTGGCAAGTGTAATTTGTCACAAATAATAAATCCAACAAGTGGAGAAATAAAAGTCATAAAGTTGAATTTTCTTATAAAAAAAAAGTCTGACGCTACATTTTGTAGAAGGGAATATTACATTCAAATAGTCAATCAAATTCAATATTTACTCTTTCTAGACAATTATAACTCAAATAAAATATATTAAAAATTAAAAATCGCAACGAAAAAGTCATATTGAAAATATGTACCGTAGCAACTATAAATAATATAATAATTATTGCTACAGAGATAACATATATTATTAAAATTAATTGAATACTAAGATATATAGGAGGAGAGTAATTATAACAATATACACCTGCAAGAAAATTAAACAACACTCAAATACTTGTTAATTTTTCTATCTTAATCCTCAATCTCTATATTTTTCTATTTAGAACCATATTCTTGGTAAATTGTCGATATCATGTTATGTCCAATAATATTTCTTTGGCTTACATCTACCTCTCCTTATACACTCATATCTATCACATAGCTAATTTTCCACACCTCTTCTCTAGGTATTTTTGCATTTAATTTCCTCTTTCTAAGCCCGAATCGCCCATCTGAGTTTCACCTCCTTATCTTGTTCACCATAGAGATCACTCACACCCTATCTCTAATATCTTCATTTCTTATCACATCTATCCTAGTATGCAGATAAATTCAACGTCTTCTAAATACTCAACGACTTCTTGACTAACCAACAATGCGGCCCATATAATATTACGGGTAATTTGACAACCACTTTATTTAAACTATGAATATAACACATTTTTATCATCAAAAATATATATCAAATACAAATTTTTATTTTATCTATCCACTCTAATAAGATATTCCTATTTTCTTAAAAAGTCATTATGTATCAATTGCCACTTCCACATTATTTATCATGTGATTTGGTCACTAAACTTGCCATTCAAATAATTAATGTCTTGACGAGACTTGATTTCCGTTCTTTATTTTACATTAATAAACTTCATTAAAATAAAGAACAAATAGCCTCAGAATCAATGCCTTCTCCAATATTTATATAAAAAAAACTAACCAATCATATCCTTGAAATGAAAGTCATACAAATAAAATATTAAGAGAATTGGGAACTTATCAAAGCATATATAAAAAATAAAAAAGGAATTTTTACATATAACCACTCAAAATTAGCTTAATTATTCTTCATAATTATAATTTGATAATTACAATTCATAGCTACATGTTATTGGGGAGAGAGAGGAGAGCGAGACTCGAAGAGAGAAGAGAGAGGAGAGAGGCGAGCGAGAGAAGAAAAAGAGTGAGAGAGAGATGAATTGTATAAGTATAGCGGATTGATAATTGTATATTATACATATATATTTGTATATCTTGACGAATTATACAAATATAAATATAGCTAATTATACAAACTAGAAGTCAGCCCCATGTAATTAAACGCGTAATTTTACAAAAATAATATGGCTAATATAAAATGTTAGTCGCGAGTGATAGTTATAATAAATTATAGTTATAATAAATTATAGCTATAATAAATAACTAAATAAAATAAATTTATTTAATCGCGTAATTTTACGAAAATAAATAAGAAATGAATATATAATTAGTGCATGGTAGGGAATCAGTGCAACATGCATAATAATAATAATAATAATAATAATAATAATATAGTGAATTGGTCTAATGTCACCATCACACAGCAACCTGGTGCATTAATCAATCAAAAACAAATATATATATATATATATTACACGATGTGCCAGATTTGAGGGGTCATCTGATACAAGTTGAACTTAAAGTACATAATACACACAATTCTTTATAATACTATAATCAATATATATATATATATAAATTAAATTTTACTTTTGCGTCATTGGGCAGAAATTAACCATAGAATTCAAATATTTACGGCTACATAATTAAAGGCTGCTGGCAAAAGTGGGACAAAGTTGGAGCTTCAAGATACTAGCTACTACCAACTACTGATATACTTATGATTTTAATATAAAAGGATATTTTAGTGTATATATTATATTTTTAATTAAAAATTATTTATTTATTGATATTTTATATTAAATAAATAAATAAAAATGAAGAGAGTACTATTTATAATTACAAAACTTTTCATTGAATTAATTAGGAAGCTGTCAAAATAAATTTTCTAGTACCAACCTTATGTCAACATCATTTTTCATTTGAATATTCTTCGTTAATTTGTTTTACTTGTAGGTTGTGTTCGTACTAAGAAAAATATAATTATGATTTTTTTCTTTTGAGAAATGTTTCTTGATCAAACTAAATGTTTTTTTTATTTATTCTTTGTGTTTGATATTTAAATAAAAAAATGTAATTTTAAAAATATTTATTTATAATCAAGATGAATATTAAAGAAAGTAGGGTTAGGGGTGGATTGAAAATAAAGTGTATTAAAGCGGGAATATGATACAATCAATGGATGGTTACTTCCTCCGTTTAAAAAAGAATGACCTACTTTGACTTGGAACGAAATTTAAAAAATAAAGAAAATTTTTTAATCTTATGATTTTAAATTAAACTTATGTTAGACGTATCAAAATACTCTTTAATCTTCTGGTCTTAAACATGTCACGTGGAAAGTTAAAGTTAAAGTGTTCTAAAAAAAAAGTCATTCTTTTTTAAACAAACTAAAAAGAAAATAGAGACATTTTTTTTAAACGAAGTGAATATCATCTTTAGAAAATTTTCTTATTTTAAGTAGGAAAATTATTTTTCCTATTTTTTTAAAAATTATTGTTTTTAAAGTTTTGATCAATTGAATATGAAAAAATTGACTTTTAATACTTTCTTATTCTTTAGATTCTAGTTTATTATATACATAATGTTTAATCATCTTCCCATATTTTCAAAAAATTGATCAACGAATTTAATCAACTTTTTAAGGGTTAGAACAATACTTGTGTTAGGTTGTTTGCATCTAAATTAATTTTATATGATAGTTATCATTTTTTTATTAGCATTAAATATTAGATAAATCTGTTAAATAACGCTAAAATAAATTATCAATATTTTTTTTATTTTTGCTAAAATTATTTAAAGCTACATAACTCCCGACTAACTTAATTAACGACTAAATCACACTCGTAGCTACAAATTGACTCCTTAATTTTAGTCAATTTATGAACCGATGAATTGTTTTCAAAAACTTGATTGAAATATTATATGCGATTTCTGAGGATTTTCGGTTATCCATATCTGTGTGTTCTTACTCAATTTATGTACTAAAGTTTATCAGATTTCCCTACTCAATTTTTTTCCTTTTTCATCGCCCCTTATTTAGATGATTGTCACTCATTATATTAGATTGAATTGTTACTTAAATTTTGTTATATCACTTCATTGTTAGATAACAACAAAAAGTTTCGAGGTAACAACACTTAGAGCCTATTTGGCTCAGCTTAAAAGCTGGTCAAACTGACTTAAAAATTGATGTTTGACTTATTTAGCTGTTTAGCAACACTCAAAATAACTTATTTTAAGTTTAAAAAAAAAACTTATTTTAAGTCAAAAGTTAAAAGATGGGGTAGGGTGCTTTTTTTTTTAGCTTATAAGCTGTTTTAAGTCGACCACATTTTTATCTTTTTCCCCGTAATATTTTTATACAATCTCCAAATTACCCACATAACCCTAACATCTCTTTCTTCCATTTTTCCCTTTTCACGTTTGACATAACAATTTCAGCACTTTTATCCAAACGCGTGACTGTTTATTTTAAAAATAAGTTTCAACACTTTCAAAAGTACTTTTTTAAAGCTGAATTTATTAAGCCCATCCAAACGGGCTTCTTTTATCAAGGGGTGATATTGCCAAATCTAAAACATAAAGGATGTGAATGTAATTAACCTATTTTCTGAACGCGTCGGTTTGTAGTGAATTTTACTGAATTACCAAAAATGGAAGAAGAACAAGTAAGAAGCATCGCTTTACAAATCATTATATTTTTCTTCCTGTAAAGATTCACGTTAAACTTTCCAATTTGATCTCCTCTTCTTCTTCTTTTTTCTACTTTTCTTTCAACATCAAGCAATTTATAGCACCCAAGAAACAAACAAGTTTCTCACTCTTTAAGCTGACCCATAGATTTTTTGATTGATTCATCTTCTCTGATTCTTTTATTTTCTCATATTTCCATTTCTTGAAGCTCTTCTAAGAAAAACCCACAAAAAATGATTCATTTCTGAAATCAATCACTCTGTTTTCTTGGTTATTTGGGTATTGAGGGATTTGAATTTTTTATTTTCTTTCCAAAGTTGCAATCTTTTCAGTGTATTGTTATTTGGGGGTTTTCTTGATTTGGGTTGGAAAAAAGGGGTGAATCAAAAAGTTGGTTTTTGAGATTTTCTTGGATTTGGGTGTTGTGGGTATTGGTTAAAATTGAGTCTTTTGTTCATTTAAGTTTTTGATCTGTTGGGGGTATTCTTGGAAGTTTGTGGTTGTTGTTTGGTGAATTGATGAGAGTTTGAAGTGGATTGGTGATTGTGAGAGATTGTTTGAATGGCTTTAAAAGAGTTGATTGAGATCAAGTTCAGGCTTGCTGATGGCAGTGATATTGGACCCAACAAGTATACACCTGCCACCACAGTGGGTTCTCTTAAAGAAAAGATAATTGCCCAGTGGCCCAAAGGTTTTCATTTTCTCTTAACTTTTACTGATTATGTGAATTCAGGGCAGTTAGGTTCATGTTAAAGATACTTGTTTTTTTAGCGTTTTTATCCAGCTCTTCTTTGGGTGCATAACTTGTTTGCTTGTTGGATATTTTGGTGTTTGGATTTAGAACTTAGTGCTTCTGTTTTCAGAATCAACATATTTTGTTCTGATGAGAATCTTTCTTGTATTTTCGTATTCTTAGATTTCTGTTTCTATTGGTTGATTATTAGTATTGTATTTTCTTGTTGTTGTCCTGCTTATTGCTGTTGTTGTCGTCGTCTTTTTCATCTGTTTTGAGCTGAGGGTCTATCGAAACAGGGCTCTCTATCTTTTCAAGGCAGGGATAAGGTTTGTATACAGCATACACACTACCCTCCTCAGATTCTACTTGTTGGGTTGCACTAGGTAGGTTGTTGTTGACAATCATTCTTGTACTTTCTTGTTGCTGTTCTCTCTTGGACCAAGGGGGAGGGGGTATGCTTGGATGAATATATAAAAGGAATCTATCTCTGTAATTGAAATGGAACAGTTAATTGTTGTGTTGACTGTAGTTTCTGCCTCGTGAAAATACACATAAAGCTCGTCTTTTCAATTATAAGGATAGATTTATTTTCATCTTTTTTATGTCATGATGCAAGATTGTAAACAAGGCATATATACATGGTATGGCATCATAGATTTCCATTTGGCTTACCATTACAATAATTTTGATGCATTTTGCTATGCGAATGAATAAAGCTTTGCATTTGATTACTCTTACTTATATAATCTATGCGACTATTATTAGTGTTGAGTGTGTCTCCTGATTGGTTTTAGATATCCATGTTTGATGTGCCATGTTTTGTGAATATTTGTCTTAACCTGTTAAATTCACTTGTAGTTAGTGCTATAAGATTATGGTGTGTGCCTAATTGCTTGATATTTGTAACTTTCTGTTTATTCGTAAGAATGTGCAAGTACAGTGGAATGATATAAAGGAAATCTTAAGTTATTCGCAATATTGGTAAATTAAGCTTAGATTGTTTTATAATACATTAGAACTCTTACTTGTGGACTTCACCACCTCTTTTGCAAGAGTAGTTAGCTTCATTTTAGCAAATCTAACCCTTCGATCATCTGACAAGTCATACAAGTCAAAATATTCCTCCATAGCTGATAGCCAATCTGCAAATATTGTTGGATTGAGCTTTCCATTAAAAACTGGTAACTCCATTTTGACCTTCTTTCCCCCTGTTGTACCTGGATTTTCACAGAGGGTTCTCTTTAGGGAAGTTCTACTCAGTGGTGGTTGAGGTGTCTGCAGAGGCCCTTTCGCCACAACTCCTCTTTTTTCAGTTGGTTGGTCAAGCTGTTGAACATCTTCTCCGGTCTCTAGTCCTTCATGCGAAACAACTCGGACTGATTCTTTTTTTCCTTTTGCTGGTAAATTAGTTGGCAGCTGTGAGTTCTGCAACTCAAGAGCTCTGACATGAGTTTTTATATTCTGAACCTCTACAATTAACTTCAATAGCAACTCATCCCTTTGAATATCGGTTAGCTTCCCGCTACTAGGCATTTCCAAATGAGTTGACATGATACTGATGACCTGACGAATTAACCAAAAATGAAGAGATGGATGAGGAGAAGAAGAGAGAGATTACAAATATTTTTGAAACATCTTTGGTCCAATGTTTGCTACAATCTGAGGATAAAGAGGCATTTTATGAGGACAGTTACTTGGGGACCAAGCAAGGATAAAAGTTGTTTGTAGACTTGCTTCCTCATGATTCCATAGACTTGCTGCCAAAGTTTTGACTATTGAAGCATATAAAATACAAATACTTCATAATATTGAAGCATCTAAAGATACTATAAAACTCTAAAATACGAATTTCTGTGTCTCACTGGTGAACCTTTGAGCATATATGCACCAGATTAAGCTGAGGCAGATCCCTCTAACAACGTATATGTGAATGCACTTGCTCAGAAAATGAACTTAAACAACTTTAATGAACTTAAACAACTTTAAGGTCTAAATATTTCCCATGGGAACATGAGCTTTTGAATTTGAATCTCTTTGGTCTTCTCCGGATCTTTTTTATTTTACATTACCGTTGGCCAGTAACTTCAAATTGATGAATAGGGATATCCTCCCATAATCCCTCATATCGCTTTGAAGCCAATTAAAAAGTGTTGTATATTTGTAGACTAATGACAAGGCTCTGATAACGGTAAAGTAAATTAGGATGTTATCATTTGTTCATCTGACTGTCATATGCTTAATTTTGAAGACCATCTTAGTAAGCTACAACAGGAGCACATAAGTAGTTCTAGGTGTCTTCTCCTTCTCCACATGTTTGGTTTTAAAGGAAATTTGAATCGGAATTCACAAATGTGCTTCTCTTAGTTTCTCTATTCTTAGTCAGTTATAATTGTCTTGCTGACGATCTTTTTCATGGTAGATAAAGATTCTGGGCCAAAGACAATAAATGATGTGAAGCTTATTAATGCTGGAATGATACTTGAGAACAATAGAACACTTGGTGAATCAAGACTTCCAGTTGCTGAAGTTGCAGGAGGTGTCATCACTATGCATGTTGTTGTACGCCCACCTATGAATGAAAAAGCCCGTGGTGAGTTCACAATTTGTCGTAATTATAGAAACTCAGATCATGATTAATGTGTATCAGATAGATGCTTCAATGTATCTTCTTGTCTTTTTTGTAGTACATGACAATCATAGGACAGCCTTCCGTCAAAAATCACTGGTAGCCCGTATAGGATATTTTTGCATAACCAAGTGTCAATCAGTAGAACTGATGAGATTACCTTCTCCTGTTTTCAATTTCCTTGATGTATGTTGTTGTAGATTCTTGTTGATACAAAAATACAAATTGTTTGGTCCACTGGTACTTTTGGTACTCTATGCATATTTTGCTTGTGTCAAAACTCATCATCACCTTGTCAACCTCCTCTGAGGCCTAAAGAATTGGGGTGGAGGAAGTAATTTTTAGGTTGTAAGAAAAAAAATAGTTTGTCAAGTGTCGGATAATAGCTCCAATTCAATTTCGCAGCTATGATGCACTTTATCCGAGGGTCTTCATTTCTGTTTATGATTGTTAATTGTGCTGTTCAATAAGAGTTCAAACTTCAGTGAAGCCTGAGAGATTTATATGTTGATGTATGTTAAAGATATTTATGTTGGGAAATTTTTATGAGCTTCTGCATTTCCGTCCTTGATCTATTCATTTGATTCTTCTTTTTAGTTCTATCTTTACTGAAGCCTTCTGCTGAATGAAGATTCAATGCATTTGTTACAGGTAAACTCCAGGCCGATTCCCTGAACAAAGGCGGATGTGCATGCACAATCTTGTAATCCATCTTACCATATAACACAATTATTCCAGTTTAGTAATATTCCGTAGCTCATGGATTGTTCAGTAGTGGATCTTTGGATGCATCCAAGAAGTATGAAATGGCAAAATTTGAAGTTCAATTATCATTCAAGCTCTCTTTGCTTTACCTTAAGATTTCAGCTTGACAAACTTGCTTAGAAGGCTAAAAGGGATTTCGTGCACTGCTGTGTAGGAACTTCTGTAGGAAGTACGAAAGAACAAAAAGAACAAAAGAATTGTTCAAGATTATAGTTGGTTTGATTTCTTTAAATTTGCAATCATATAACTACTATGAAGAACTTACAAGTTCAGGCATGTGTACTTGGTTGTTGTTGCACTATTTCTTTTGTCATTGATGATCCAATGTCTATGGCATCAAACTCAACATAACAATTTATATTGTTTATGTTATTTCCCAAACAATTTATATTGTTTATGTTATTTCCCAAGTTACTCGAGCTGAGAGTCTACGAAAAATAACCTCTACCGCGTAAGGGTAAGGTCTCCATCCACATTACCCTACCCATACTCTATTTGTGTAATTACGCTGGATATGTTGTTGACGTATGTTATTTCTGAAGTAGGATATGGTACTACTTCCATCTCCAGCAATATGATGCATGTCAAATTCCAGCTTCCATTACATCTTAAAGCTGTGCCACAGGGAGGCACCCAAAATGAAAACTTAAAAAGGACAGAGCTATTGAGTATACAACAAATTTTTTATGCCTCTTGCGTGGCTTAAAGTAGGAGAAGCAGAGCTAATTACAGGATAATCTAATTTCTATACATAATATTACAGCCAAATACAGGTATAAAATGGAAAAATGAGGCTATAATATATGGGATATCTAGATCTACACATAACTTAAATGGGTTACAAAATCTGACAGCCACAGTTTAGCATTTACAAGGAGCAAGGCAGCTTGCACGGTTGGTTCCTCCATATTTGGAACTTATCTTGGCATGCTTGTCCATAAAAGTGAACCAACTTTTAGAGCTGACATGCAAGACAAGGTGTGGAAGACTTGCATGTTGACACTCTTTGCGAAACGAGCAAATCAAGAAATGGATTGAAAGAGTGCCTATGAAGGACTGTCTACGATGGAGGATGAGGAGCGATCTAGTTGAATGAGCTTTGTCCTAGATGCTCTGACATTCTTGAGTGTCATCTTCAGTTTTTGCCTTTCACCTTCAACCTCAGCAAACTGGAGGCTTAACTGAGAGTACCGATCATGCATTTCCCTCAGTTCATTCTCCTTAGCTACTTGCTTTTCTTTGATTTCCAACATTTCTTTGATCAACTCATTGATGTCTCTGAAGCTTTTGAAGATTGCTTCATCGTCACTATGTTGTTTCAGAAACGAACTGAAGCATAAATAAATTACTTGTCACTTCAATAGTATTTTATCCTCACAATGAATATCATCACATTGAACCCCAAGAAAACAACACATTTTCACTGTGAAAACAGCAAAGCGCTTCTAGATAGTTACTTCTCCAGTAAGCTTCCAAGAGAAAGACAGAAAACTACTAATATGACAATAGCCATGGATACTGCTCATTGCCACAAAAGCAGACTAAAAGAAAATATTTGTCTTTTAATGTCTTCATAGACAGACAGACCTAGGAAATGCTTCAACGTATTCCTTCTAGAACATGATCTACAGATTCTATAAATGCAGTTCAGTATATGAATTATGTGAACTACATTTGTAATTCCTGGTATAATTGAGAAGCTAGCAAGAAGTGTTCAGAAAGCCAGTTTGATGCATGACCTGTCAATCTACATGTAAAATACTATTATTTCCATAAATATTTTCCAGAGTAAAGCAATATGTCCGAAGAAAACATAATCGATGTTAGCATAGATTTACAGCAACAGATCAAACATGGAGAGTAATATCAACTGTTAGCACTGGAAGACTCAATTTAGCAACATGAGAAATTAAGCAGGGCTGGCGAATGTTCTTGAAAATGTTGATTAAGCAGTGATAAATGAAAAGATTTACTATAATTAACTAAAAGAAATGGAAGAATGAAGTATCTGCCAGGGCCAATTAAACAGAAGGCAAAGATTGAAAAAGTAATTGCATCATCTTACCTCTGGAACATACTCGGTTTATTTTTTGCCTTTAATGCTTCAGCAAGCTCAATTTCCAGGGCAAGTACCCTCTCCAATGCATTACCAGTGGTAGCTGTATCCTTGAATGTTGGGAACATGCTTCGGAGCTCTTCATTTGCCTTGCAGATTAAGAACCATGATAAATAGTGATCAGCGCACAATGACATATTCAACTACAATATATATGAGCCATCTCAGTATACCTTGTGTAATTGGACCAGTTCGCTCTGAAAAATTTCAAAGCCTTGATCAGAATAATGGTCCTCAGGGATGAGAGAGTTTTCACGTTTCATCCTTTCCAACTGCAAGACAAGTAAAAGAAAAAATTTGATATGGCACCGCCATATATCTCACTTGAAAACTGATTGTTGACTCAAAGTTGGATCGACAAATACCTCTTCATGTAGATGTTCCATGCTAGACCTAAAATTCCTGCTTGCAAACTGTTCACTGCTGAAATCTATATGTCTTCCGTTGCTGGGTGGTGAGTAACCTTCTTGAGGTGCATCGCCAGTTGTTGCATGAACACCTACTGATGCAGCATCCTATAAATGATTGAAAAAGAAGAAAAAACTAAGTACTTCAAAAACCAAAGGACTCCATGAAGTAAAAAACAAAAGCAATCTGCACAATCAGAGACATAGATTAACCATATTTACTTCATCACATCAGTTATTTAGGAAAGTGTAGGGGTATATTTACTATTTATTTTATGTTGCTACATTACATCATACGAGTTCTGTAGCCTTCAACTGTGTAGCCCAAAAAATGAATATTTAAATAAGGTCTTCAAGAAAACATTCTACATCACTACCACATTAGTAGTTCTTGTCAGAGAGGTTACCGGACTGAGTGGAAGTTTCACTGGCGAGCTTGATTCTTCACTTCTATCATCCATAAATAAGGTTGTTTCCTTCACATTCCAAGCATCAGATGAATCCTCTCGAGGTGTGGCATCAGGAGAAGGATTTACATTTGTTTCATTAGGCGCAAGTCCAACTTTGGTCATCTGGCCATTTTCTCTCTTAGATACAACAGAAGATGTGACATTCATCAGCTCTTCTCTAGTCGAAGTAAGTTCAGCTGCAATTCTGGAGTATTCTCTGGCTCGTTCTTGCAAAGTTATTTCGAGTTTTTCCTTCTCTTCCTTGCAACACTCTAGACTTAGCAGAGCACACTCCAATTCTGCCTTTATTCTGTCATGATCTTTCACTATTTCACGCTTATCAGAAAGCAGAGACTGTAACTCAGATTCCAAAGACAAGATTTTGAGAGCTAGGTCTTCATTCTTCCTCAAGTGCAAAGCTTCAGATCTCTTCCTGCTTTCGATTTCATCTAATGCATCCTGTAACTTCAGAAGCATATCTTCTCCGTGCTTTTTGGAGATAGAAACTTGTTGCTTCAACTCTTGGAATTTTGATTCATATTGCTCTTTTATAAAGACTATTCGTAAGGATTCTTGCATAGCTACTGGTGGTCCTTCAGATTCTCTTTTCTCGCGAACCTGGAGACATTCTGCATCAGCCTTATCCTTGAGCTCCTTCAAATGGATGGATAAGTTTTTGAACTCTTCCGTCTTCAAGGCTTGCTCAGAGAGTTTGTGAGTAAGCTCATTACACTTGTGGGTGAGTTTATCACATTGAGACTGCAAAGTGACCATTTCATCTTTGTTGTTCTCCTGTAAGATCGTGTGGGGGTGCAGTTCATCTAATTTGCCTCGGAGCACAATCACCATGATCTCCAGTTCCTCCTTGGAAAGTGACAAGTAATTAAGTTCTTCTTCAGCATTTGCCAGCTCGTTCTTCAACTTCTCCACTTCAAGAGCGTGGTGATTATTATTTTCAAGGAGAGAATCCTCCAATATTGTCATCTCCTTCTTGTATTCCTCAAGTTTCACTGTGTTAACATACTTGGCATCTGAAAGAACATTATTTTGAGCAATAGAAGCTTCTAAGTCAGATCTAACAGAAGAAAGAGATTGTAGCAATTCCTTGTTTTCTTTAATTGAACAAGCCTCATTTGCAAGGCATTGATTCAAGTTGGCCTGTAAATCATGGCATCTCTTCTGAAGCTCGGCAGAGGACCCATCGGATGATTTAACCTGCCGCACAAATTCCAGATTAAGTGTTTCACAGTGGCTCATGGCTACTGTGAACTTAACATCAGAAGCTACGGCATACTCTTGTATTTCTAGCATGTACCTTCTAAGATCAGAAATATAGGAAACCTCTAGCTGAAGTTTCTCCATTTGCTTAATACGCTGCTGCAAAAGATTGTCAAGTCTAGATTTCTCCATTCCCAACTCTGATGCCAACTGCCTGAAATGCACCAGATCAGCATTTTGCTTTTCCAAATCCAGTAACTTCTCATTCTTCTCGTTCAATTGAGAAGTAAGATCTCGCACTGAGCTCTCTAAACCAGAAACACAGGACAAATCATTCTGAAGCTTAGCCACATGCTCATCACGCTGCAGCACAAGTTGGTCAAGTCTACATTTCTCCACTTCAAAATCTGCTGCCAGCTGCCTAAAACTTACCAGTTCAGCATGTTGCTTTTCCAAGTCCAGCAACCTGTCATGCTTCTCATTCAATTGAGAAGTAAGATCTCTGACTGAGCATTCTAAACCAGAAACACGGGACAACTCTTCCTGAAGCTTTGCCACATGCTCATCACGCTGCTGCAAGAGCTGATCAACTCTAGATTTCTCCACTCCTAATT